CTATCCAGTTCTCCTTCTCTCACTTCATGATTTCTGACTCTACTCAAGAAGATAAAGCACACAAACCACGGCTTCCATGCACAGAAAGCTGTCCTTGCTTCCCCTCTGGAAATAATTGCAATTTTTAAAAATACCAATGTTTTTTACTTGGATGAATAATCTCCATTTTAAGAACAGATAGGGCTTTCAAAAATGACTTTTCACTTCTGAGTGCACTGAGAGGTTTTGAAAGGGCTGGGTTCCCAAAAGGTGGGTCTCTTGGCACTTTCTGAAAGCCAGAGCATTTTGGAAATACCTCCAGGGGGTTGCCTGAAATCTCATGCTTCTGAAACTCCTGGCCAAGATGCTTAAGTATGGTGAATAAAAAATAGCATTCTGGTGATTCAGTGGTTGCATTGGGAAGGTACCTCACCTTATGAGTCACACTGTTGTATAGCGCACCAGGGATGCTCTATACGTGTGTGTGTGTATTGTGTGCACACCCCAGTTACTGATTACACAGAAGGAACTGCAATCTAAAATAAGTACTCAGTGTCACCTATAGATAGTTTCAGCAGAGACCAAAAATAGCCACACTGCAGTTACCGTGGAGCAGAACAGACAACAGAGCTGGAAGAGTTGCTGCCTCAGCACGGCTGGCTTTTAATGAGCTTGTGTGTACCAAATATCTCCAGTCATGGAGGGCAAAAATGAAACCCCCTTGGAATGAAACGCTCTCTGGTGGCAACAGGAACAGGTGCATTGGCAAGCAAAAGGCAAAAGCAACAGCTTTTTTTTTTTTTTTTCTTCAGAATTAGGCCAAGATGGTAAAAGCAGCCTGCAGAAGTTCGACCAGATTTCACATGTTTGGGGGGCAAAACACTTTTACTTACAGAAAAGCAGGAGTGGCATTTACATGTCGAATCGTGAAGACTTCTATTTTTATTATACAGATTCATACTGAAGCAGCCCTAGCTCAGCCCTGGTAGAAGTCTGACATCCCAATCCATCCTGCCCCTCCAGTGGGATGTCAGGTATTTTATACAGCCTTAACTAAATAGTGCATGGGACTTGACTGGCAGCAAGTTAATTTCATAATCTTAAAATTACCTTAAATGGCAATGAGCCATTCAAGTTAAGGGGAAGAGTCACAGATGATAAAACATTTTAGCCCCTACATGGGGTCCTCTGAGGAGCAACATGCTGAAATCCCATAAGCAGTGCAGCAAAGCCGGTCTCCTCTGCAGCAATGCTCGCCCAAGGATGCTGGCAGCCAGCATGGCCTCCTGCTCCCAGAGCTGCAGTTTGGTATCAGTGAGAAAAATCACCTTCACTGCAACATATTGTCCCCTTGGCAGTGCTCAGGGCTGCCCTCCTCAGCAGAAGCAAACCCTGGGAAGCAGCTCAGGACAGGATGCACGTGCCAGATGGTCCACCGTGCGGCCAAACCAAGCTAGCAGCTCATCAGGGCCAAAAAGGAGGTGGCCTCAATAATCCTTCTTCCTCCTCCCACAGTCCTGCTCCATCTCCCACCCTCGTCCCCCAGCCATGCCCCGTTCCTCCTGGGACTCACCCGGTCACCTCATCACCCACGCTGGCTCCCAAGCCTGCCCACCCTTCTTTTGCCCGGCTTGGGTCGGTGATGGCAGTGAATGAGCAATTTGCTCGGGGAGGGATGAGGCAGCCGGAGCCCTCCTCCTCCTCCACCCCTGAATCAGTTCATGCCAGAGGCTGGACCTCAGCCCCGGAGGCAAAGCCTCCCCCTTGCTCCCAGTACCCTCTGGCTGCTTGACCTCTGGAGGGAAAATCCCACACATCCGTGCCTGGCTGACATTAACCCACACTCCGGCTTTGTTTCCTCTCTACCACCTCCTTTTCCCTCCAGGAGGGAGGCAGGAAAGTGGGATGCTGCGCCCGGGGCAGGGGATGCCACGGTGCCAGCTCAGTGCAACCAGAGCTGCTGGGTGGCCCCAGCCCTGAGCCAGGGAGATGTCTCCGGGGAAGCCCTCGGCAGGTCCTTCACCAGCCTGGTTCTCTCCACGGAAGTTGTCGAGGGCCCAATTAACACCAGCAGGAGTGTTGCTGGGCTGAGGGAAACAATGGAGCAGGCACTGGAGGGCTTTGCTGAATGGACTTAATTCAATGCTTACGCCCTTAAAGCCGAGCACGAGCTTCACTGAATGAGGACGGGCAAGCTGGAGCACTTTGGGGGCCTGCTGACCTGTCACCCAACATCAGCATCTTCAAAAGAAGCAGCTCTTGGCACAAATAACTCCTTCTTTCAGGAAAAAAAAAAAAAAAAAAAGAAGAAAAAGAAAAAAGAAAAAAAAAGGAAAGAAAACCAAGGAGAGGCTGGTGCTTTTCCACTCCGGAAGGTCTCTGGTGGCTCTTGAGGGAGGCGGTGGCAGCCTCACCCCCTTCCCTCCCCTCTGTGGGGCAGGGGAGACCTGCCCGGGGATGAATAGGGGAGGGAAACTGGGGCAGCTGGTGGGACAGTTCTTTCTGGCGTGGAAAAATATTGTGAACTTCCCGTGCCGGTGGGAGAAGGGCATCGCTCCAGCATCCTGTAGCCCCAGCAACCCAGCGAGTGGCTGAGACTGTTTTTAAGCCCTGGGAAGGGACTGCAAATGTGAGTGTTGTGACCTGCGTCCAGCGGCTTTGTCTCCAGAAAAGTACACACAAACTGCCCAGCACTTGTGTATTGGTGCTCCCCACATTTAAGGATGTCCTGCTCCCTTCCCAGCAGATGTTTTATTGAGGGCAGATTTAAATTTGTGGGCCAGCTTCCTCTTTTCTTATTTACAAATCTCTATTTCAGATTAGTTTTAAACCCCAAAGACAGGCTAAGGGGGGAAAAAGGGGGAAGGGGAGGGAGACAGATGACTCCCCTTTGTGAGTGCTTTACTTGCTCTGAGGTAAAGTCATTTGCTTGGTAAGGAAAAAAAAAAAGCCCTATAAAATGACTTCCACGCTTCCATAGGATGAGTGCTACTAACTTCACTACGGGCTATTCATTTCCAGTGGTAGGAGAACATCTCAGACACAGAAGACTTTGGGAAAACAGGTCTTCATCTGGAAGTCAATGCATCCCCAGCCATAACAGCATCCTGCCACAAAACACACTCCACACTCCCCAGCACCTTAATGCCCCTCTCGCACAAATACACTAAACCTTTTTGTCCCCATTACCAACAACTTATAACAGGGAAAACGTTAAGTGATGAAGAAAATAGGAGTTGCTCATGATTTTCATGGAAGAAAGCAGGGCTGTGGGAGTGTGCTGCGGCCAGAGTGTGTTGCATAGCCAGAGCTTCAGCGCCAGGGCACCACAGGAACCCAACCTGCCGAAGACCGCGCTCGGTGGGGTTGTGTGTTTTAGAGCCTGGCTGAAAAAATGCAAATTGTGACAGAAGCCAAATGCGAAGCTCTGAGCTGTAATCAAATAAAGAAGCAGAGACTGAGCAGCAAATCGCAGCTTTTCACTTTGGCAGCGGATCAAATCTATAAAAACCATTACCTGTGTTTCAAGAGCAACACGGACGACTGATTTCCCATCCCCCCTGGCAAAGCAGCCGGGGTCCCACCCCTCTCCCTGCTCTCTGAATAAAGCCAAAGATGCCACCAGGGTTTTTAAAACCTGCTGCCTCGGCATATGCTGACAGGTTTTTGCCCGTGTGGCTGCAAGCCCTTCTGTAGTTGTGAGTGAGAGCGCATCAGCCGTGCCAGCACCACTCAAAGGTTCATCGGGAGCTGATGCTGGAGGCACCACGCTGGGCGTCCCCCCCCGGGGCAGAGGGTCGCAGTAACTGGGTGGGTGGCACTGATGGATGGACAGATGGATGGAGGACAACTGTACAGGCTGTGCAGACACAGGTCCTGCGCAGCTCTTCCACAGCCAGAAGGCTACAGGGCTTCCCTCCTCAAGTCTTCTTCTCGGTCCACATTGCCATTGTAAGGGCTTGGTCCAAAACTTCCAGGTTTAAACTTTCATGGGCTTTCCATCCGATCTTCAACATGTCACACATTCAAATGAGAAAAGAGGCACGTGCCTGCCTTTCCATGAATGCAGCAAAGATAGCTATTACCCACCACCCCTCAACCCCAAATCCCTCTTCTCCCCACTCTCACCAAAATGAGAGAGAAATGCTTAAGGCCACAATCACGCACAGCGCTAAGCACGGGATAATTAAACACTGCAGATCGTTACTGGTCACGAGCAGAAAAATGGCAAAGCAGAGGGTATGTATTTGTCACGTGGTGGAACCAGCTGTGGAAGGTTTTTCTAGGAGTTTTGAAACAATTCCAGCTCTTTCTCTTTTTTTCCCCAGGGTAGTAACATTTTTCTGTCGCAAGCAAGTTAGTTGCTAAAATATGCATAAAGATACCACTCCAAGCTGTGCACTTGTGTTTCACGTTCACTTCCCCCCCTTGAAAGAGTTTTGTTACGTCTAAAAAAACGAAAAGGAAGCGGCTAGAAATCTGTAATGGTTCCATTTATTAATACGTATATCACAAATACTCACAATATCAATGCATTCTCGTTGGCATGCTAGACAGAGGCATTATTAAAAAAGTCCTATTTTTTTAAAAAGGTTTTAAACTTTTGCTTTCCCCCAAAAATATTTCATATGCCTGTTTTTTTGTGATTTTTTTTGTGTGTGTGTGTGTGTGTGTTTTTATTTCGATTTGATTCAACAATGTATCTGGTGGCTGCAACCTCAATGCAAAAAGAAAGAAAAAAAGAAAGAACAGGAAAAAAGTATGAAGGCCGCAGTACAGCACAGTTCAATTAGTTCATAACTACCTAATAAAAATAAAGGAAGCAAAAATCCTGCCTTCACAGTAAGCAACAACACAGCTTAATAACAGTATTACACAGGATCAGGTTCAGAGGCAAAAATGCACTAGACAAAGCCTACCGGGATACGCACTAGGCATACAACACTGAGTAAGAATCAAAGATGTAGAAGAACATCAGGAATAACGGTTCCCTTCAAGCACAACATTTTAACATCATTTTCAATTAAGATAAACCCAAAAGAATATATATATTTCATATACCGGTTTATATGAACGTGTGCAACACTTATTAACCATGGTGAAAGGCTAATTGCGCCCTCCAGTCACTACATGCACAGCCCGATCGATGCTGTTAATGAATTACCTTTGTTAACTTACGATGCAACTACTGTGTGACCAAGAACATAGAGACGGTGCCGTCCTACGCCGAGCCGCGGGGGACGGGGGGGTGTCTGGGTCCGGAGGCCGAGGGGGACCCGTCTGGCTCTGCGGTGGCACCGCGGTACTTCACAGGATGGCAAAACACTACGCATGGGACAGAGTCGGGGAGGTGGGGTGCGAGTGTGCGCGCACGTGCTTGCTCGTGGGGGGGGCGTGGGTGTGCGTGCGTGCGTGCGTGCGAGAGACAGTGTGTGTGCTATAACATTCGTTTCAGTCTTTCCCCAATCCGGCAGCTCCTGGTCTCCAGACAGGCTCTGGACTTCGCGCTCCTGAAAGACTGGGTCGGGGAGGATAAAAGAAGAGAAGTGGGTTGGTTTGATTGCTAACAGCACGCGTGATGGATATTTTGCCTTTTCAAGAAGAAGGTCAAAATGACAAAATATTCAACAATACAACACACTTGTTTTCTAAGATACTTTTTGATATGCTTACATTTTCTGAAGCTGTGATTCTGGATTCAATTCATAGAATCATAGAATCATTCAGGTTGGAAGAGACCCTTGGGATCATCGAGTCCAACCATCTACCCTACTCTACAAAGTCCTCCCCTACACCATATCCCTCAGTACCGCATCCAAACGTCCCTTAAACACATCCAGGGACGGTGACTCAACCACCTCCCTGGGCAGCCTGTTCCAATGCCCGACCACTCTTACAGTGAAAAATTCCTTCCTAATGTTTAGTCTAAACCTACCCTGTTGGAGCTTGAAGCCGTTCCCTCTCGTTCTATTGTTAATTACCTGTGAGAAGAGACCAGCCCCAACCTCTCTACAGTGTCCTTTCAAGTAGTTGTAGAGAGTGATGAGGTCTCCCCTCAGCCTCCTCTTCCTCATACTAAACAGCCCCAGCTCCTTAGTATTCTCCATGAACACGCCGAGCATCTAAAGCTTGCCCGTCATCTCCAGCAGAAGCACGACAATGTAGGGCAGCGTATATAGTGTACCCCATAGGAAGCAGGGAAAGCTCACCTTGTTACACCATCTCGTACTGGTTAGCAGTAATAAACCGGGACAGACAGCATGCCAGCAGCATCCCAATCAACTGTTCCAGACAAAAACAGGAGTAAAGTTAAATTAAATGAACTCGGAGCAAAGGAGAGGCCACAGAGAGCAAAGATTCCATGTTCTGGACTTACTATGCACAATATGTTTATTCTCTGTTCTAAAGACTAATCAGAAAAGCAGCATTGAGATGTCACGGAATCATGGAATTGTCAGAGTTGGAAGGGACCTCTAGAGATCATCTGGTCCAACTCCCCTGCTGAAGCAGGATTGCCCAGAGCACATCACTCAGGACTGCATCCAGGCAGGTCTTGAAGATCTCCAGAGAAGGGGACTCCACGACCTCCCTGGGCAGCCTGTTCCAGTGCTCCGTCACCCTCACCGTAAAGAAGATTTTTCTCATATTTGAATGGAACTGTCTATGTTCCAGCTTGAGCCCGTTGTCTCACCTTTCTTCATCGGATCTTCCTCTTGATCGTTACCAGAGCTTATTTATCTGATCGACAGCACAGCTCTTTACTACTTTTCAAACCCACTGTCATTGCCTGGCCAAGTCAGAGGTGGAGGGGTAAACTGGCGGGGGTACAAGCACAGCTGCAGATCACTCACAAGCTCCACCTGGGTCCCTCTCCACCACCCACCACCACCACCACCGGGAGCTGGTGGCCCCCTTAACTTTGTTAACAGCACACTGGGGAAAAGGTTCCCGATGCCCCAGAGTGGTTATGCTTTCTTTACAAACGATGCAGCACCAGAGAAATGAGTGTTATAAATCTGGAAATAAATAAAAAAGAAGTCTTTCGCTATTCCCTTGGCTGTCACTCAGATTATTGAAAACAGATCCCTGGCTTCCACTCGTCAATAAGCACTCAGTCATTTCAACGTTTTGCCTATTGCAGTTTGTTAGCGTTTCCTGCACATGCCAACAGCGGCGTTAATATACTATAAATAATTCAACCTCGCTTTTCTCATTTGGATTGGTCAATTAATTAACCCATGAGCATATCCAGACCGTTACAGCTCATCCCCAGCTACGGGGCTGAGGCGAGAGGGCCGTCTCTGCAGACGGACCAGCCTTCCCTGGACCTGGCTCCAAGCACGGGCTGTCACGGATGCTCCGGCTTCAGTGGGAGCTGGAGTGGGTCCCCCATCTCTGCCTGTCTCCTCCTGCACATCAGAGGGGAGTGGTGCTTAAGGAGGGGAATCACAAAACCTTTTGGCAGCTGGAGAACTCCCTCGGACCCCACAGGGCATGCGTAGGTAATGCCTGGATGGCCGCTTGTCCAAACTGGCTCCTTCTTATTCACGCTTGGGGTTGTGTGTCCTTTCCCCTAGACTGTCAGTCCTCCCTGTTAATGCAATCATCCTCAAAATACACATCTTCTCTACCAGCCAATTGCTTGATTTGGGGTGGCATCAGCCCAGAGCAAGACCAAACCAGGGCACCTCAATTCCAGATAAACTGTTTTCTGCCCCTAAGATGTCAAGTTTCTGGTCAGGACACACTTCATTTGCCGGAACATCTGTACATTCAAGTTTTTTTTTTTCTTTCTTTAATGCCTGTGCCACGAGATGCCTATTATTTCCCATTATGAGCACCCAGATCAGGTGCAGGCTAGTTCATAGGATAATCATGAGCCAGCAATGTGCCCTTGTGGCCAAGAAGGCCAACGGCATCCTGGGGTGCATCAGGAAGAGTGTGACCAGCAGGTCAAGGGAGGTTATCCTGCCCCTCTGCTCGCCCCATCTGGAGTACTGTGTCCAGTTGTGGGCTCCTCAGTTCAAGAAGGACAGGCAACTGCTGGAGAGGGTACAGCAGAGGGCTACAAAGGTGATTAGGAGCCTGGAGCATCTCCCTTACAAGGAGAGGCTGAGGGACTTGGGTCTTTTTAGTCTGGAGAAGAGAAGGCTGAGGGGGGATCTGATCAATACTTATAAATACTTAAAGGGTGAGTGTCAAGAGGACGGGGTCAGTCTTTTATCAGTGGTGCCCAGGGATAGGACAAGAGGAAATGGGCACAAACTTGAATGTAAGAAGTTCCACCTAAACATGAGGAGGAACTTCTTTACTTTGAGGGTGGCAGAGCACTGGAACAGGCTGCCCAGGGAGGTGGTGGAGTCTCCTTTTCTGGAGACATTCAAAACCCGCCTGGACAAGTTCCTGTGCAACCTGCTCTAGGAGGACCTGCTTTGGCAGGGGGGTTGGACTAGATGATCTCCAGAGATCCCTTCCAACTCCATACCATTCTGTGATTCTGGCCATCATTGTTTCCAGCCACATTCTGGTGGGTTTATCAGGTTGATATCAGGTTCACAAGGGGAAAGATGCTGCAGCCTGTACAAACGGGAAGCCATGGGCTTTCCTCTCCCCCTTCAGCTGTAGCAGACCTACCCAGCTACCTTTAATTAGGGATTCTTCTGTTTTACACAGGCTGTAGTTCTAATAACAGTGTGTCTAAGCTTTGTAGCATTTCCAGGCATGTGACAATTTTTTTTATTTACTCAAGTCACTGGTAAAGACGAATGGAAGGTTACACATGAACATATCCTTCTGATCTTTGGCCCGCTTATTAATTCTTGCTCTGACCATATGCTGGTTTATGCATTCAAGTGGTTATAGTACCATAATATTAAACTTCTATATTTCAAAAATAATAGCATGTGTATCAAGCCACTGCAAACACATTTTATACAGCATTTCTAGCTATTACCAGGACACAACAGAGCTATAATAAATATCTTAGAAGTACTCTGAACACCTATAAAAACATGTATTTTCCGAGGTGCCTAGACCTCCATATTTAACCACAAGAGCACCGTCCCTCCTGTGGCCAAGAAGAGGCAACGCTGTATTAAGTTGCTGAATTTTCCTCACGGTGATCTTTCATTACAGTCACAACTACAGTCCTCTGCATTTAAATCAGGTTAGAGGCTCCCAGTCTGCGAACCACAAATGAGCACTCTCCACCCCCTCCTCGCTCTCTGCATTTGCTTGATCACCGGCAACCTCTGCTCTTCAGACAGGAGGAAGCCCCTTATCCTATTGCACAGCAGGTCCCCACAGCTCCTTTGAAAGACCAGAGGAATTGGCATAAAAGGATCCCCGCAAAGAAACCAGCTGCTAGGAGTTGCATTCATTTCCCTTTGCTCCCATTGTCTCTCAAGTGCCCCATCTCAACTTTCATCCACTTATTAATGTATTTTTTTAATGGTCCCAGTTTTTCGAGTGCTAAGATGCCAGACTTGGTTCTGCATAAGTATTCTCTCTCACTTTTCCTCTTCCCCTTTTTCTAAGATTATCTTGCTCCTCTGAACTAGTACATAGAGAACTGAGAGTTTGTCTTGGAACCTCTGGTCTTGCTGCAGGAAACTTAAAACTGCTGACAAATTATTTGGCTTTAGAGCACTGGGAAACCCATATCCCTCAGGTGTGTCTTCTTTACTACCACCCTGTTGGCCAAAGCTCATTCTAGAGTGCAGCACACAGTTGCTCATCTCTCCATGGTTTCCATGCGTATCTCAGATCTGACCACTAAAATCCATCCACAGCAACTTCCTAGCCATCTCATCTCCCACCACAAACATGATAACTGGCTTTTTAATACAGTTATTTTGCAGGACTGAACCTTGACTGGAAGCTGTGACATATTTATTACATCTTGTTATACTGTAGAGAGACTGAAATGCAATTTGAAATTTCCGTTTTATTTTGGGTCTTGGTATCTTCACCTATTCTCATTTTTTGACAGAATGTCTATAAATAGAAATGTTTTGAACTAACTGGGAAGTCATCAGTGGATCAGGTAAGGTAAAACCGGATTTTTTTATCCATCAGGAATAATTGTTCACTTCAATGATTTACCTTGCCATATTTGCAATATGCGAACTAACTGGGAAGTCATCAGTGGATCAGGTTTATCCATCAGGAATAATTGTTTAGTTCAATGATTTACCTTGCCATATTCACAATATGCATATCTCCAAGCATCCAGGTTCTCTGCCTCTATTTCAGAAGACAGCAAATTCTCCATGACACAAATCACTTACCAGAGTCAGCCTCCTGTGCCGTGGTATGCCTCTGGCACAGGTCCTATCTCCATGCTAAATCCACAGTGACTAGTATTTAGAAGCAATAGAATTTAGTCTTATATTAGATTGCAAGTCACATATTGGATCCCGATACGGATCCCACTCCCTAACCCTGACGCAAGGGGTGACTGAGGTGTAATCCCATGATAAAGTCAAGTCTCAGCCTCCCTATACTTGGACAGGAGCTGCAGCAGACAACGTGGATGATATCTGCACCAGAAGTGTGTCCACAGTCAGGCAGAGCTACTCAGGTTAACCTTAACAGTAAAGAGGGCAGGTGGACGCTGCACCATAGGGAGAGACTTTAGAAACATGAAAACACATCTTCAAATGATGGGAACTGTGTGTGCTCAGGAACATTTGGCTTCCAGTCCTTCAGTACAAAAGGTGTAATTTGGCCTTAACACTGCACTGAGACTCCCCTAGTCAAGAACTCTAACGCAACCACAATCTATAACTCCCTCCCACCCCGCCAATTCTGCCTCTTGTGCCCCTTAAACCAATGCCTGTGCTGCAGTTTTATCTAGGCAAAACTCTTCATCATCTATGTTGTTTGCAGAATTTTATTCTCTGTCGGGCACAACGCAGTGATCGCTTTGCCGCTCTGAAGAGCACCTGCTAAACTGGAATTATTCCAGCTGGAAGTCAGCATTGGCATCTGATTCCAAAAACAATCAAATTGTATTTTATTACTCTTATTTCAAACCCGAGGAGCAGTGCAGACAATGTCAGCAACACAGCAGTTCTTTTAAAACTCTGACTCTGATTGGGAGGTCTGTGCCAGGCCCGTGAGACGTGCAATGCCATTACATCAACTTTCCCTATTTCTGGGAATCGGCACATTCCCCGTGCTAGTCAACACCTAACAAATCATGTGAAGGAAGGGCCCTTGAGCATGCTTTACTGTAGAAGAGCAACATGATCTAATTTGTCTTTTATTTAGATTAAAGCTACGCTCAGTAGGAAGAGCGAAACCTCGCCTACAGCTGGAGCCCTGCCTGGCATGACTGCCAGCCACGGTTAACCTGAAATCAATTTGTAAACGGCGTCCCTAATTGGGCCCAGCAAAACAGATTAGGCAGTAAATTACAACTGGCCGCCTTCTATTCTTTGCATCCTGGGAGAGCTGCATCCTTCCCCCCTGCAGCCCCTCTCTCTTTCCCCTGTCCCCACACTCGCAGGCACCCCCAGCAGCAGCAGGGTTCCTGCTTGGAGTGCCAGAGCCTCCTTGTGCTTAGGCCGGGGAGGGACATCCCCAGCTGGCAGCAGGGCACACACTGCCACCAGGCAGCGAGAGCCGCCAACGCCACAGCAAAACACACTCTGGTGTTCACTCGGAGCTGCGGCAGCAAAGTGCCTTCCCCCCTCCTCTCCCCGTGCTGCCTGTCACCACCATCTCCCCCCTTCTGCCAAAGGGCTCCCGTTGCAGGGACCACGCTCTGCCCCACCGCCTTCCCCCTGCGCCGAGCTCTCAAACAACTGACAACCTAAAGTGAAAACCCGGGCATATCATAGAATGGTTAGAGATGGAAGGGACCTTAAAGGTCATTGAGTTCCAACCCCCCTGCCATGGGCAGGGACACCTCCCACCAGACCAGGTTGCTCAAAGCCCCATCCAGCCTGGCCTTGAGCACCTCCAGGGATGGGGCATCCACAACCTCCCTGGGCAAACTGTTCCAGTGTCACACCACCCTCACAGGAAAGATTTTCTTTCTGGTATCTAATCTAAATCTCCCCTCTTCCAATTTAAAACCATTACCCCTTGTCCTGTCACTACACTTCCTGACAAAGAGCCCCTCTCCAGCTCTCCTGTAGGCTCCCTTCAGACATTGGAAGGCCGCTACAAGCTCTCCCTGCAGCCTTCTCTTCTCCAGGCTGAACAACCCCAGCTCTCTCAGCCTGTCCTCATAGGAGAGGTGCTCCAGCCCTCTGATCATCTTTGTGGCCCTCCGCTGGACCCGTTCCAACAGGTCCATGTCCTTTCTGTGTTGAGGACTCCAGAGCTGGACACAGTACTCCAAGTGGGGCCTCAGGAGCGCAGAGCAGAGGGGCAGAATCACCTCCCATGACCTGCTGGCCACACTTCTCCTGATGCAGCCCAGGATGCAGTTGGCTTTCTGGGCTGACAGTTATGCCTAACTAATAACAATTCCAGCTTGCACCCTTCCTACAGCCCCCTTCCCACCTGCTGCTTTTTCCATCCTACGTACAACACACCGATTAAAGTCTTCCAGGTAGCATTGGTCCTGACTGAGGGGTTTGCCTCAGCAGCATATGAATTGTAAAATTCTACTCATCCCCTTTTTCTTTTGGACACTTTTACATCAGGCATTTTAGAAGATGCTTTACAGCCTTCTGGCTGTCTGGAAACAGAACTGAAATAAGAGCTCAGAGTCCTATAGCAGTAATCAAGTCATAAGCAAGAGAGTTGGAGAAGAGTATGAAGACAATCATGACCACTCAAGAAAAACTAGAATAGCCTATTAAAAAAAACACACCACAAAACAAAACTCCCCCTGCTCCATACACCAGCAGCTCCAGACTGGTGGTTTCACCACTTCTGGATCCTGAAGATCTGAGACCCACACACGTGCTCTGGGTGGCTGGCAGGTGAGCCAATATTTACGCCTACATGAAAGAGGCTGACAGGCCAAATCACGTGGTTTCATCACTTCTGAATCCTGAAGACCTGAGACCCACACACGTGCTCTGGGTGGCTGGCAGGTGAGCCAGTACTTACGCCTACATGAAAGAGACGTAAAACAGGCCAAATCACAGGCTTCTCACATGTAACACCTAGGATATATACAAGGCATCAGGCTTCCACATGTGCCCAAGAAAGGGCAGTCAGCTGGTCTGAGCCCAGTTTTAGGGCTCCTGTGAGTTGTTCAGACCTTGACTGAGGGGACGTGATGGCAATTTTCCACAGAGCTTGGGACCCTTTACTCCGAAGAACTTGGAGGCCACTGTAACTGCTGAACAAATTAAACCCCAGAGAGGGTCAGCCAAGCATGGGCTGACCACATGGAGCAGCAGGGGCAAGAGGGCAGCCACAGCCCTACCATTAATTCCCTTGCCCATCTCTGGCAACAGCACTGGCAAATCATTGGTTTTGAGTGCAACACAGTGTAAACCTACAGCTTGCTAATTGAATTAATGAATTTCAAGAAGAAGTCAAATAATTTTTTCTTCATTTCTTCCAACCACTGGGTAAACATAAGTCATTCAACACATATATTCATATTTTCAGTGTTGCCTCAGGACCCAGATTTTTAATACTGTGTGAATGAAGCAACTGAAAGTTGCATGATCATTTTAGAATACGACAGTTGTACTATGCACTCTCCACAGAAGGAAGGCAGATTGCCTCTCAGCTAGAAGTGGTTCAGGCATCATACAAATCGCTCCATGTTTGTGCTGAACCATTCCACAAGCACTTCGGTATTACCCATGTTTCCCTCCCTTTCATTTTTGCACATTTTCAGGAAAGTCCTCGCCATCACACACAAAGTGACTAGTATAAAGGAGCAGCTTGTTCAAAGATGCAGGTGTTTTCCTGCCCCTTTTTAATCTCAAGATTCTGACTAGACCCTTAGTCTCCTCAACTCCTATCTAGATAAAGGTGGTTTAAATATCAGGGAGCACCAAACACTTTCTTAGGTCTCCTCTTGTCTCTCCCATGCCAGACTCCTTTTGGTGCAGGCATGGAGTTGGTTTAATAATCTGATTTTGGCAGATCTCTGCTCAGTCTTCAGTGTTAAAAGGAAAAAAAAATAAATAAAAGTGGTCACCAAACCCAGGTGCCCCCTTCAGGCTCCAGGTCCAGGATGGGGAGGCCTGAAGGTACATTCTTATTTGTATTCTAGACTCCTTTAAGAAACTCTAAGAGCGCTTAGGAGATAGAAGCCTATCCAAACAATGGATAAGCTATTTGTCTTCTTAGCTGTTTATGCTCCATTTAAGCCAATGTTTTATTGGGTTAACCTCTATTTGACCCAGTGGAGGGACAAGTTGTTTTCCTTGAGCTAGTCATTAGCTCAGCCGTAACTGATATTCCCAAGGAGAAACTTCATTTAAGTTGAAAAAAAGAAAATCAATGAACAGATGACCTCAGGACTAATGAGCATGCTGAGTTCAGTCCCTTTCCATAATCCTTCCTTCCTTGAAGTCTGGGTAAAGAAAAACAGAAAGGGGAAAAAGTTGGGGGAAGGGAAGCACTTATGCACTTACCTGTGAGAACGCAATCCCAAAAGCCACTCCAGCTATGATTCCCATATTTGTCTCCATAAAACTGGTCACCAAGTCATAACAGCCCTGGAAAACAAACACAATCATTCCTTGGATCAACCTTCCCTGCCAGAAATGCATACATACAAATTTCTCATTTAAAATGAACTTGTATAGATAATATTTTTGCTGTGATTTCCAACACTGTCACCTTTTTATTTAATAGCAGTTGTAAGGCAATGATGGGGAAAGTGCTGGCAAAACTAGGTTGCTCCCCAAACCAAATTTTCTCTCTCTAGCTCAGACCCTGACTCCATCAGCTGACTTGCTTCCTCCTGCCTCAATTCACAGCCCACACTGGGGCCAGAAGATTCACACGTATTTCTGCCCTTGTCCTGGGTAGGCCTTTTTGAGACGTCCCCCGCAGTATGACAATTTTCGCCAAGTTTTTCCCCTCACCTGCTCTACATCTCAAAAAAGCATTTGAAATTATCCTTCCTAGTTTGTGGTGTCTAAATGAATCTAAGCAAGTGATGCAAAACTTGAAGAAAAAAAAGGATAATGTCTATTTTTTTATTTCATTACTAGCCTATCTGCCCACACAATCCAAAGCCACCTCTTTGCCCCTTTTGCCATATGTCCTCCAAAGACCAACACCACTCTTAGCATAAAGCCAGTCCCAAGGCATTTTATTTAATGTTATAACTTATCAGAATTTGGAAGAAACAGAAGTTCTCTTCCCCAGTTTGGACTCCAGTCCCATAAGAGAGAATTGTCTCTGCATTCCCCCTTCTATCCACACTCCCCCTCACTTCTGCAAAGGCTTTAGGAACTCTCTACATGACTTCAGAGCATTAGATGCTTGTAAACAATAACAGCTAGAAAGAAAGGATCATGACCTTTGTTAGAGACAGGCCATTCATAAACTAAATTGTATCATTTCTTTAACCTCTTTTATAATATCAGAAGACAGTGGTAAACCTAATAGTAGCTGAGGACTAGCACAGCTGTGATTCAGTTCTGAAATGTTTAAGTGTACATATTAATCCTTGATTACGTCTTACAACAGTGTACAGTATGTCAGATGCAAGCTTGCTTATTTAACACATCAAGCAACTATCGTTGTGTGTGTCTTACATGTTATGAAATGAGATTAGATTTCTCAAGCAGCGCTTTCATTCTGTCTGACATGGCTTAATGTTCTCCCAGCTCTTCTGAAATCTGTTCTGTTCAACAGCCTTCAAGAGATGCAACATCTAACAGCAATGGTAATTTGAGGGAGACAGAAGATCTCGTTAAAAAACCATGCAAGTGAGAGAGTTTTGATCGCTCTCCTCATTTAAAGGCTGTGTTTTCCCAATCACAATAATCAGTTTCCTGAAGTACGTTGCATAAATATGGCTTAATTGCTCAGTCCTCACTGTGCATGGAGTCAGAGTGCAAGTAGCACCCAAGAGTTGCATACAGAGTACAGAAGTATGTAAACCACTGTGTGCACACATCTGGGTGGTGATTCAGAAGACAGAAATGACAATTTAGCAAGTATCCAATCATTCTTGACTCCACACATCTGTTCCTTTATTAAGATTTTAGAGAGAAGTAGTTCTTGGGGTTCGTTGGTAATGAGCTCTGAAGATTAAAAGCACTATATGAACACTAATTAGCTAATCCTAATGACAGCTTTTAAAGTTAGGTATTAGCTCCATCCGAGATGAAGAAACAGAGAGAGACTAAACGATTTTACCCAAGGTTACTAAGCAAGTTAGTGGCAGAGTTGGCAAAGAAAATCCAGGAATGTTGTCTTTTAGTCCTGCAATTAGACCATTAGTTTAATCCTCTTTGGATAATTCATCATTAGTCCTCAGAAACTGCTAGTAATTTGATAAGCTCATCGAGAACTTGTCTTACTGATAGTTTTGCACGTTTCACCAAAAAGAAGTATTCCAAATATACAGGAACAGTAACATGGGTCTTCCACAACACAGACAATACGGATTTTCCTTTTTCTCCAACATACTCAAAGTGCCTTATTTCCAAGATGAGCAAGGGGCATGGGTCGGAGGCAATGACGTTTGCTTCTTATCTGAAGTGAAAGCACAGGGCCACACAACATTTCCTCCTGCTTGCTTTTTATTCCCATGCCCCTTTCAGAAACAATCCACCTTGTTCAAATGTTTGGGATAACTCCGAGACCTCCCAACTGCTAAACAGAAATCTTTACAACCTTTGATTACAAACGGCTATCTCAGAAAACGGGACGCAATTTTTCAGATGTCACAGGACGTTCAAACCTCCCCTAGGTAACCAAATCAATTAAGTCAACTGCTTCCTGAGAAATCAGCATTTCTCCTATGTCAGGCAAGTTGTGCATTTGCAGAAGAGATGCTCAGGAGCAAGCACAGCTGGAAGTGAGTTACTAGCCCCCGACTAGCACAAGCTCATTTATCCCTCAGCTGTTTCCTACAGTTTTGCAGGCATCCTTTGCCAAGAGGAACTCACAAGTGGGCAGGGATTTGTGTGTGCAAGATCTGTACTTTGGGGAAACACCAGACTGGTGCTGGGAATGCAAACAGCACCTGCTCAGTTATGCAGCCAGGAAAGGTTCAGAGTGTGTGACCATCCCTGAACTGAAAAGGTGAGACCTGCTAGTAGAGTACCAGTCACACCAGAAAGCTTGCCTGCTGGGAAGGTGGGCAGAAGCAGGGGCTCTGGATGGGCTTCCCAGGAGGCACTCTGTCTTCAGGGGTTGAAAGCTGTACTGCACATCCCCCAGATCCACCCCATCCTGCCTCTCTCCTTCTCTCCCCTTCTACAAAACCAGGAAGTTACTACAAGTTCACAAGGCAGCTCATCCTTCATACTCATGCAACCCTGCCACAAGATTACTTTGCTGGTGGCAACTGAGTTTCGTAACAGATGGACGTCACTAATGTTCCACAGATGACTGCAACGAGTGGCCGTCATTAAACTATTACAGAAAAAGAAAGGGCTTAGTGGAAAATAATCCTCTAGTGTCTTTTTTTTTTTTTTTAAATACATGTGAGAAAATGTTGCCCACTTGACTGGTTTACTAAGAAAGATGTTTCAGGCTGGGCTCAGGCAGCTCCCCAACCTCCTGATTCACAGGTGACTGAGGCAAAAAAGACAGAAACAAGACAGAGCGGCATTTCCATATTTCCCCAGTTATCTACTTAGAACTTTAATTTCTTTTTTTAAATTCAACTCTGAAAACAAAAACAGAAAAGAAAATAATCCTGAAGTGACTAAGCTATGGTGCAACTTAGCTCAGTGGTTTGGCCACAATATTATTCCAACAAACTGCCTGTTGCCTCTCTTGCAAATCTCAACTGAGAAAAAGAATTGATGATGAACTAGTACTTAAAGCAGTAACTTGAGCTGTACTTCTGCAGTGCAGTGTCTGCTATATATGCTGCATTATCTTCTTTTTATTCTTCCCTTTCTTTTTGTATTCTGTATTTTTAATCTCCAATTATTCCTTTTCTTTCTGTTTTCCCAACTTGCTTTCTCAACCTTTTCCCAGCCTGCTCCTTCAGGTGACCCCAGGGCAGGGGTCATTTTGGCTGCACTATGTTCAAAGATCTTCTTAAGAGTCACTGTAAATGTACCAGTAAAGCACAATGCTTGTTGTCCACCATCTGTGTTTTCTCTGGTTGGGATGACAGTTACGCTCTGGCACTGAAATTACTGTATGAACATAAGCAAGAGTACGCTTTCCTCCACCTAGCTTCATCTTTGTCCTCAACAAAAACCCACCACGTTCAGCAGGAGTGAGCAGAGAAGCAGAGAAGTGCTGACTGACCTAGCCCTCAAGGGGAGTGGAGCACGTGTGCCACTTGTGCCAGTGTGTACCTCAACCTCTGCCGTGAGCAAGGGGAACAAATCCCCTTCCTCATCACAAGCGTCGCTACACCTGGTCCCTTGAGAAAGGCCAGCTTAAAGAACCTGGAAGCAAGGAGGGGCCAAAGCCCACCCTTACCATCACTCCAACCCAACACATTATCGATCAAACATTTGAAACAAAACGCAACTGTAAGCAGCCTTATGCTCCACTGATGTACTGGGTGGTTTCCTAACAACTGCCTCCGGCACAATGTTACTGGTACCTTCTGGTTTACTTTAGTGGCAGCCACGGTCATGTTGCGCAGATCCTGAGTATTGCAGTCACTGGAGTTCATGCAACAGCTTGTAGGGATGCCGTGTTTGAAGAAGTAAGGGCTGGTGCTCCAGTTGGTGTAGCTCTGAATGCCGCAGCAGCTCAGCTACAAGGAATAAGAGGCAGATTTAAAACAAACAAATGAACCGGAATTAAAACTCGTACAGGATCATCACTACCCACTTTAAAAAAAAACTAATGATCAAAATAAAAGCAGATTATCTCCAGCTTTGAAAAGTAGTTACACCCCTTGCCTCATTTATCACAAAAGTCATTTACAGAAGATGGGAGCAGATGACCTACTAAGAAAAGGGTATGTTATGAGCAGAGTTACTGCTTGTAAATTTGACAAAGGTCAAGCCATAAAGCCATCTTTCTTAGTTGAAGGCCTGTTGGTTTTTTTTTTCATCTGTTTTCTTCCTCTGCTTATTTATTTATTCATGTAAAGATGATCCTGGAAATTCAAGATAGAGCCTCACAATGTGGTCAAGAAAAATTGCTTAAAACCCCCAAAACATCCCCCATGTAACAGATACAGGGTGTTACAAGCTAGTACAAATTGCTAAGGTTAAGCAAGCCTCTCTAACTCACCAAAATAATTTCTAGGAAAATTCACTACGCCATGAATAGAAGGAGACCATAAGTTCATAGAGTGCACCTACAAAATCAGCAGAAAACCCTAAGTTTGGAAGGATATTCCACCTTAGGTGCTAAGCTAGAAGACAGTCACTCAAAGATATGAGTATGTGCTGCATTCTCTGCATGAAAAGGGCTTATAAATGCAGTTCCTGTGAAAACAGAGCTACAGGTTAAATGAACATTTTGCTACAACAGAAACACCGGACAGTTACTCAAAAGTATTTAGTTCAGCAACTCCAAGGAATCAGAAATTCAAACTAAGGGTTAACATCAGGCAAACAGACACTGTGACAGCAGAATGTACTCAGTTTAGGTCAGTGCAGTGATCTGCTAACCCAGAGAAGCCAGGTTAGTTACAGGCATGGTTTCAAACATGCTGAGGGGCCCTACATAACAGTTGTAATTTCTAAAGAAGATCTAGAAGTCATCAATACAATTACATTAAAATTTCAGCTGTTCGGCAAGTTAGAATCATATGAAGATCAAACTGGCTCACAGAATGCATTGTGGGCTGTGAGGATAGCTTCTTGCTATGGCATAGCTTCCTGGGGGAATTTAAATATGAATGTTATAGCTTTGTTGTGGTTGGTGGACTTGGTCCCGTGTGGTTGGCATCTGTGGTTGTTTTGGCCATGCTGTGGCATTTGCTCACACCCTGTGCCCTGCTGGAAGGCAAGGCAACCTTCCATTGCCCTGCCATTGCACCTTGTGGGTCAGAAAGGCTCTTCCACTGAGCACCTAATCCATCCCTCCAGCATGGCCAGAGAACAGCTTTCATTGCCTGCCACAGCACCACATTTGTCCACCTTCTTTTCCTGTGGAGAAAATGTACACTCTGTTTCTCCCCTCAATTCAGTAGGTCTCCTTTGCAAGCTTTTCATGGTACTTGTGGAGAGAACTGCTGCAGTTTATCAGTGAGACAGGATACTAGATTATAAAATCCTGTCTCATCCAGCTCAAATTTACAACATTTCATAATCCTACCGACAGATTCCCTTAAGAACACCTTGTTCTTAAGGGATAAAACTGGTTCCTAAGGCTAACTCAAGATCTGGGTCCAAGAATAAGCAAGTGGGACAGGCCCTGTCTTTATTAGATAACTTGTTCATTAATACTTAGGCATCTTGGACAAGCATATCAGTTGAAGTACTTTCTCTTTAGATCAGTTTTACCAGCCTTTAATTCTGCTTGCAATATCCAGCTTGCAGATTGAGCCATTCACACTCCATGTTCTGTGATTGAATCTGAATGCGTGCTTTGTCTCTCTTTATTCATTTTTTTTAATATCCAATTTCAGACTTACGCTTTCCTGTACGTTATCCACTGCATGGCTCCGCTCATCGTTCTTGTTGTAATTCTGGATTGCTTCAGTGTATGTCCTAAGGAAAGTATCCTTGATCTATGAGGAGGAGATAAAAACAGCCCACATGAGCAATGAAAAGCATTGAACATCCAGAACAGTTTTCACGGGAAGCAAATGCATTTCCAAACCTAACAGGGCACCCAAACTAGTCCTTCCCACTTGTTTCCAGACTGTTTTCAGACCTGGCAGAGCTTCCTCTTAACTGTCAGGAGTCACTCGTGCCATTTTTCAAGTGGGGTCTATCAGACGTAGAAAGAAAACTGCCCCATCAAACTGCTAAACTTTAAAAAACAGAAAATGACTTAACCTACATGAAAGATACCCTTTAATGCCTTTTCCCCAAACACTTTGTTCCAGTACTAAGTCTGAAGGAGGCTGCGTGCTTCTCTCTGCTCACGGATGCCTGGTGGGAGCTGGAGCTTGTGCAAACTCCTTGGTAACAGAAGCCAGTGGCATCAAAAGAAGACATGAATCCCCTGACCAGGTGGCAGTAACTTGTCCCCAGCAATGAAGACATTCGGGTAAGAGACAAGAGGTCTCTCAGCTAGAGAAGCCCAGGGCCATCACTGGGAAAGGTACTTTGGGTGGCAAAGGGGTTGGGCAGCAGATGACTTGGGCTGTGGCCTTCCTAAAAGACTGCCTCCCCCTAAAGGGAGCAGCAGCCTGATGCCGAGGCTGCCGCAGATTAGGCCAGATGAAAGGGCAATCCTCAGCAGATGGGCAGGTGTTTTGGGATCAAATTAAAAGCTATCCACCACTTGCAAGGGTAGACACCAGAAAAACTTATAGCAAGGGAAATCTCATGTCAAAAGACCAGACTAGAAAACCAGTTAATACAAAGAGAAGAGACAAGAAGGGTCTCTGGGGTTGTCCCGGTTCAGCACTAATGGCATGTAGGTCCATGGACTTAAAGCCAGAGATAGACCTGATTACAGTGGATAAAGCTGAAGTGCTACTACAAATTTAGACCGTCATCCTTTTTTAAAGCTTCTTCCTGTCCCAGTTTCCTACCTCACTCTCTTTCTAATCTCTCCTTATTCTCAGGATAGAATCAAAATCCCATCCCACTCCCTCCCTCTCCAAAAAAAGAAAAAGATCTACAAAATATTGAGTCTGGTTTGATGCAGAAATGGTCTCTGCCTTTCATAAACATGTACTTGCCTGGCTGAAGAAGCTGTTTTTAAGAAAAGTATATAATCTATTTTGCAGCCCTCAGCACAGGAAAAAGAGCAAAGATCTTACACCATGGACACACAAAACCCGATAGCTCCGGAGTAAATTGTCAGGCAGCTAAGGCCAAGAGCTTTGGCTAAATCCCTTCGTTTGGAATCGCATCAATTTTTAAGAGCTGTGTATGTTATTGTTGCACATCAGTCACATCCCTGGAGATGTGTATGGAGCCACCGAGCTCAGCGACCTACACATTCTCCACACTCCAGAGAACTTCTCAGCAGCTCCTGCCCAGGGGGGCACTGCCCTATGCAAACTCAGCACATTTCCACCTACCTCGTGGCGAAACACAAACCCTGAAATGCCAGCCACTAGCTCAGCCAGGAACACCAGGGACAAGAACATGGCATACTGAAAAGGAAGGAGGCAAGAGAAATCAGAACGTGACAGGCTTTTGTCTCAGCACAGATACTGCTCAGTTATCACATAAAATTTAACTTTCTGCTCTGGACACCCTTTAAAGATGTTAATAAACCAAAGGTCTTTTGGAGGCAACACACAGGTCTGAATATATTATGTTTATACAACTCACAAATGATATGTTTTGTCTAATTACTGGCTTTTCTGATGCTTCTGTTCCACCATTTCTTAGTGTTCTCATATAAATTAAAACACACTCACATGCCAGAGATGGATCCAAGTCACTCAGGCTTTGATCTTGCAATAAGGAGTACAAACAGCCCCTCTATGTTTATATGGCACTCTGTTAAAGCAAATAGGCTTCTCCAGGTGTTTTGGTTCGTGTCTCTCTGTCTCACTGCTAGTCTGGGCTTTGCTGCCCGGTTCCTGAAGTTTCTCCAATGAATGAACTGAACCACTGACTTCACTGATGTGGCAATATTCTCACAGTAATACTAGACAGATGCCTCACTTTGCTGAGCCAAGGCCCATGTTTGGCTTTAGGAGCAGCATTTGGATCCAGAGCTAAATATACCTTGAAAACAGAGCTTTCAGTGTAGACACTCAGCAACTATTAAAATTACTTGTGAAAATAAGGTAAAGGAAAAAAATGCAAAGTGGGATGGTAAAATTTGAAGTTGGGTCTTAATCTTCCGGAGGGAAAATAACCTTTCTTCTCCATCTGTTAAATAACAGTTAATTAAAAAAGGAAACATTCTAAATTAAATTCAGTCCTAGTAGGATTTAGTGGAAAGAGGGAAATTTATTTTTAATAGAAGATTGCTAGGGAAGGGAGGACAACAGCTACAGAAGAAGTGGAAAAATCATTCTCTACAATTAATGCAGCTGTCAAATCACTACCTGTATTCTGTTCAGGAGAGAAAGTTAGTTTTAAAATATTACTTACATGTACAATGAAAATAAAGCCATGTGCTTGGAAAAGCACATGCCAGGGTACGTGGCATACATTTAAAAAAGTTACATGACTTTCGGCGTACCTAGCAGAGCCTGAATTACGATGGATTTAGATCTTCTTTCACCTTTATCCCTTTCCCATCTGGACTGCAGTAACTCCAACAAGACTCTACACGTGCCCTGACAGCACATCACCAGCAAGAGACAGCAGCAGTTCGCCTATGACAGTGTTAGGCATATGCCAATTGGCCACCAGCATATACCTTCTGACAGATCTGCAGCTGCTGCCTCTCCCCTACTGTGCCATCAATCGAGGAAATTAACTTTATTTAAGATGTCCTTTTTTAAAAATAAAGTTCAAACTGGAGAAAAATTGTCCTCAGAAAATCAGCCCCGAATTGCTGTAGGGGGAGATGCGTTGTACTGTTAAGCCCTTTTCCACTACCTTAGCGCTTCACAAGTTCTATTTCCACCCTTCAAATCATTACTCATGTGGGATTTTGCTGCTGAATATTCCTAGAAACACGGTTTATCATATAGGTTTGCTTAACTTATAGTTACTTTGCATTTTAAGGTGGGCTGGAAAACTCATAGAGAGAAACTTATAGGGAGAGAGATTAAACTGGATTGAGAGGCAGGTGCTGTACCTCTGCTTAATGTACGTGAAGTCCATGCTGCTTTTGGGATGAGGACAAACATACCATACAGAGCTTTGTTTTCTGGGGTTGACTTGTTTTATTCTAGTGAATATTAGGAGAAAAAGAAAGACTAGTGTGCTTTTAGAAGGTACCAACTATTTTTGCCACAGATTTCACATCGGAGTGTTAAAATGACCCCTTTAAAATATACTTCAGATGAATTTCACATTTATGATGCATTGGACATTTTTAGAGATTGTAAATATACCTATCTATCTGTCTTGCAGAAAACCAGAACAATTGTAGAATTACTCACACAGTAATTAATCATCAGCATTTCACCCTGCTCCCAACCACACATGGGCCTGTACGCTGTGTGGTAGCAAAATTCATTCATACTCAATCAACAACTGGTTTTGGCAAAGACTTTTTTCCCATTCTTTGTCCAAAAGACACACGTGTTGAACATTAAGATCAATAAAATCTAGCTTATGTGCATAAAAACACACATTAACATCTGGTGAAGCTTGGCAGAGGGTGGGAAGAATCCCAGTACATCAACAAAACCTCTTCCCCTCTTGCTTCAGGCACTTTGGCACGCTTACCAGTTTCAGCATCCATGGGCTACCACGACAAGTGGCAAAGCAGCCAAAAAGACCAAAGACAATGATTGTGGTACCCGTCCCGATGAGCACGTAGGGGGCATTGGTGGAGTTCTCAGCAATGAGAGAGATGTACGTGCCAAGGGTGAGCTTGCCCCAGACGCCGACTGCAAGAAGGATAACGCCTGTGATCTGCAAAGCAAGAGGAGAAAGCCGTCAGGAGCTATCAGGGAAGGCATCCAAATTCAATACACAGTGATCCTGAAGAGATTCATTGGTGCTGTTGTGTTGGCAGAAGGAAGCCTCAAGACTTTTACTAACTCCAGAGGGATGGACAGAGAAAATTAATTTCCAGCATCTGTTACGTTAAGACTATCACTGGAGGACAAACATGTAGGATTAATAACCGCAGAGCTGATGATTGCCAAGGGAGAATGCAGTGTTCCACCTGCAGGAACAGGCTCTCTGCTCCTGCAGCACACTGTGAGAGGTGGCCAACCCCATCACTCTTACCAAAAGACAACAATGATCGCTGCCACCTCATATCTGAGTTTTGCCACAAAAACTGCGTGAACCACAAAGACCTGCTGCTTGACGTCCCATCCTATTTAATGCCAGAGTTTCAGGAACACGAGCATCCCTTGCAGTGCGTTACTCTAACAAGTCCCACTCCACAGGCTACACAGCAAGCAAGCCCCTGGCTGCACAAAAGCTTTCCCCCCTGACACAGGGTGGGAGGACACCAGTGGGCCCTGAGAGTGCCCAGCCTCTTGCCTGAGATGTGCAAGCAGAGGCCACCATGCCACAGGGCAGCTGGACCACGTAGGCTCCCAGCACCAGCAGGGACATGGGGGAAGCCCATGGTGTGCCATCAAGCAGTGGCCACAACAGGGATGACGCCTGCACCTTCCACTGATCGTAACCTGATGCTGACACATCTGCTTCAAGACTCTACACCTGTAACTCATTCCCATGGAGTGGCCAAAAGTAGGACATGAAGGGCCCATCCTGAGTGCCAGTTCTGCAAACGCTTGCTGAATTCACCCAGAACTTCTTACTAGCTCCTCCAGGCCACTGCTGAGAAGCAGGAACAGAAGAAATTGCCCAGACGGTACTCTTCGGTTCGCTTTCCAAGTTTTTTCTTGTGAACATCTTTACACTGCTGTGAAATCTTGAAATTCAACACTATTACACCAGGGTTGCCCTGCAGTTTTTTGTGGAGGGGATCCTTGTTCACAGTTTTGTTGCCCCTAAAAAAAATCCCAGCTGAGCTGCACTGTAAGATCTTTCAGCTACTTTTCAGTTGCCCTGCAGTTTTTTGTGGAGGGGATCCATGTTCACGGTTATGTTGCCCCTAAAAAAAAATCCCAGCTGAGCTACACTGTAAGATCTTTCAGCTACTTTTCCGTTCTGCAAACGCTTGCTGAATTCACCCAGAACTTCTTACTAGCTCCTCCAGGCCACTGCTGAGAAGCAGGAACAGAAGAAATTGCCCAGACGGTACTCTTCGGTTCGCTTTCCAAGTTTTTTCTTGTGAACATCTTTACACTGCTGTGAAATCTTGAAATTCAACACTATTACACCAGGGTTGCCCTGCAGTTTTTTGTGGAGGGGATCCATGTTCACGGTTATGTTGCCCCTAAAAAAAAATCCCAGCTGAGCTACACTGTAAGATCTTTCAGCTACTTTTCCTACAGGTTGATGTGAATTAATTCAGGGAAAGACTTTTCAAAGGGCAAAAGGAAAACAGCTTTTTGGCTTTTTTTTTTTTAACCTAGGCTGGCTCAAAAAGAACTATGCAGGGTTCAACCTCGTCACTGCCTTCCCACTGTGCCCTCTCCACCATCCTGCTGCTTGGCATCAGTAAGCAAAGGAGCCCGTCCTCTCCTTGACCTGTGTCTGCAGCAGTAGCAGCAAGTACTGCTCTGATGCAGCATTTCTCCCTCTCCGGAGAGGGAACTGCCTTCAGCAGAGCTGCTGAATAATCAGAGTCACCTAAGGAAAACACCAGGCTGAGGGAGGATACAAAAGAGATGCTCTGAAGAAAGGTACAGGGGGAGGGACGCAGAGGAAGGAGAGAAACCACAAAAAGAGAACAAAGAGAGGAGACCAGACAGACAAAAGCAAATTAACACGTCCTCAGAGACAGGAGATCCTTTCTGTACCAGACAGAAAATATTTGGCAATTTTGACACTTCCCAGCTCAGCCCCTTCCTTCCCTCGCACCTCGCAGAGCTGCAGGGAAGACCTGTCCCCACCTGGCTGCCACTCAGAGCACACCAGAGGACATCACTGTCAGGGAAACCCACCACATCCCTCTGTCTCCCTAAGCCTCCCCTGGTCCCCCTGATCAGCCACAGCAGGCGCCGGCATTTCTGTCACACCTTCGGGACAGGATTAGCAGGGATTTCTGCTCTCCTGGCCACGGTGGCGACAGGAATAAATCCAGGTCCTGTCCATCTTTCAGTGGAACTGTGTGGAAAGCACTGATTCCTTGCTCTTGTACCCCACCAACTAACAGCTGAATGCCCCCCAAAAAATCACCAAGTAGCTTACCTACCCATAGGCATCAAACGCCTCCGCTGAGTTTGGTCCCATCCACACACAGCACTATCTTCACCTTTCTCCCTCTTCTCCCTAACAAAAGCTTTTGGCTGCCACTCAGAGCACACCAGAGGACATCACTGTCAGGGAAACCCACCACATCCCTCTGTCTCCCTAAGCCTCCCCTGGTCCCCCTGATCAGCCGCAGCAGGTGCCGGCATTTCTGTCACACCTTTGGGAAGAATTAGCAGGGATTTCTGCTCTCCTGCCCACGGTGGTGACAGGAATAAATCCAGGTCCTGTCCATCTTTCAGTGGAACTGTGTGGAAAGCACTGATTCCTTGCTCTTGTACCCCACCAACTAACAGCTGAATGCCCCCCAAAAAATCACCAAGTAGCTTACCTACCCATAGACATCAAACGCCTCCGCTGAGTTTGGTCCCATCCACATACAGCACTATCTTCACCTTTCTCCCTCTTCTCCCAAACAAAAGCTTTTTCAGAGGGTGCAGATTAATCAGCAATCAGCACCCCCCCGCGAAAGTTTTCAGAGGGTGCAGATTAATCAGCAATCAGTCCGTAACCCCCTGAAAGCGAGCTGTGGGGAGACTCGGAAATCCACAGAACGACTTTTGGTTTCTCGCCTCCAGTTTGACAAAGGGCTGGTTTGTGTGCCTGAGCTGCTGAAAGTTTTACCACTGTCCCCAGGGAGACATAAAAGCAGCCTTCACTGCCAAAAGGAACAAGCAGCTTCACATTTGAAAGAGAACTCAAGCCTTGTACTAAAAAGCATTTTTAGTCAGCTGTTTGAAACAATTACTAACCCTTTACTATGCGTTTTAAGAGTTTGGTTTCCCCCGTCTCGGTAGGGGGGCTATCCAATTTATGGTGCACACAGACTTCGGAAAAAGGCAGCAAAGCCTCTTGGTGACTCCTTCCCCTTCTCTTTCTTAATAGAGCTCTGATTTAAGTGGGTTTAAGGAAATCCCGCAGTTTGGGGTGAGGTCTAAACCCCCAGCAAGCCTGGCACTGTGCAGAGGGGATGGGACGTTTCCACAAAGACACGCTGCAGTTGCGCCTTGGGTGGCAGCCACGCCAGCTGGAATTTCGCTCATGAGGAGGAAAAACCAGAATCCTTCCCTGCAAACCTTTTCATGACCTTTATTTAACAGAGCACGAGAGCAGTGGTATGACTAATGCCTACCTCCACCCAAAGGCAAACCTCGTTTCCTGATTTTCAAGATATACTTTTTATCCCTATCTCTCTGCTCCATCACACAATCAAGAGAACAATCAATGTACTGGCCGCTTGTTCAGTTCAGTTTTTAGGTTTCTTTTCTTTAAAAGCAGGAGGGACAAGGGCAGATGGAAGACCAGGACAGTGCTGACCAGAAAACAAGGCAGCAGGAACATACACCACTCCAGTAAAGCTACACACATCTTCTCCTACTCTACCTCTTGTCCCAACAGGCTGTGGAAAGGAGCCCTGTATGGTTGCACCTGATTAATGAAGCGATTCCTTCATTTGGCCTGAAACCATTAGGCCAGCCTAATTCTGTGTCCAGCGTGACCTGTGGGTCAGGCACAATAGGTGATATGGCTTCATTTGCATCTGAAAATTTGCACACCCCAGGGAAGTGGTTGAGGCACTGGAGGTGTTCAAAAGACAGGTTGACATGGTCCTCAAGAATATGGTTTAGTGATTATTTTTTTTTTTTTGCTTATTTCTTATTTATTTGTCAGAGTTAGGTTGATGGTTGGACTAGATGATCTTTAAGATGCCTTCCAACCTAGACAATTCTATGAATCTATGAAAGGTCTAACAGGAAACTGACCATCTCCTGAGGTCTCTCCTCAGTCTTTCCCACTCCTCTCCCACTGTAATGTTTCCTTTCAGACCATGACAGAATCACAGAATGGTTCGGGTTGGAAGGGACCTTACAGATCATCAAGTTCCAACCCCTCTGCCATGGGCAGGGACACCTCTCACTACAGCAAGTTGCTCAAAGCCCCATCTAACCTGGTCTTGAGCACTTCCAGGGATGGGGCATCCACAACTCTGGGCAACCTCTTCCAGGGTCTCACCACCCTCACAGGAAAGAATTTCTTCCTAGTATCTAATCTAAATCTATCCTCTTTCAGTTTAAAGCCAGTACCTCTTGTCCTATCACTGCATGGCCTTGTAAAAAGTCCCTCTCCACCTTTTCTGTAGAACCCCTTTAGGTGCTGGAAGGCTGCTGTAGTGTCTCCCCAAAACCTTCTCTTCTCTGGGCTGAAGAACCCCAACTCTCTCAGCCTGTCTCCATAGGAGAGGCGCTTCAGTCCTCTGATGATCATGTAGTTCAGTGGCAGAATGGAAAATGATTAGGAAATCAAGATAAACAGTGGCAGACAGATATACGGATACAATCAATACATCTTTTGGAGATATACAAAATATTTCAGATATCCTGAAAGGCAGAGGAGAGTGACCACAAGCCTTCTGACTTTAACAGACCCGAGCCAAGATTCACCATCCAGAGCAGCTTTATTTATAAACACCTGCAACAGTCAGCCCACATGGAGCAAGAGAGCGGCAGTCCCACTCCACTGAAGGACTTCTACAGCAAAACCTGGCCTTCACACGGCCCCTCCAAGAGTTCTTTCTGGGTTCATTTTCTTAGTACCCTGAAACTGTGTGCTATAATAGAACAGATGAGTTAGCCATCTTTTAATCTTCCTTGGCCGTATAACAAATTAGACTTGGATCCACAAGGAAAAGGCTTTATAGAGGCCACTCAGTCATATTTTTTAGATGTTGAGGCCTGCAGTTTTGAAAGTTCCCTGAAGCTGAAGAACACACTTTACTTACACCTAGCAATAAGGGCTAGCAGAGGCCCTGGTGACAGCAGAGTGGGACCAACGGTGACCTCACTTTGTGGTAGCCACACACCCATAGCCTCTGTCAATCCATGAGAGGTATGGGGAACACAGCAGGGGATGTGGCATTGTCTGGACATGTACTGTTTAGGGGTGGAAAGTAAATGGCGAGCTGCAAAGGTTTTAATTCTTCATTAAAACAAACACAAGCAAAACAAATACCACCCCAAACACCTCCTGTGAAGCACAGACCCATTGTTCCCTGACCGCCCAGAGATGTTTTCCCAAACACAAGGGCTCTGAAGTACAGTGTTGCATTTGTAATTTTCTCTCATTGCCCTGGCAATGGCATGACAACCACAGCCTGTGCACAACCCTGCCCTGGCTCCTCAGCAGACACAGGAGAAACCAACTGGCAGCTGTGGAGCCTACGATGCCCCAAATGA